ACATTTAGGATGCTAGATAGTTTCATGGGTCATTGAAAACCCTAATGAACGTTGTTACCAGAGTGATGGAACAAACACAGGCCCTATTTTTACCCTGTTTTGCTCTCTGTTTTCACACCCTGTGTATGTTGTGGTCGTGGTCTGGTCCTTCAGCAGGAGCAGTGTACCTCTGGTGCTTTGGAAAGGCTGCGGGTGGCCATGCTATGCGCAGAGGTTGGTGCTCCCTGAATGCTCATGGCAAATTTTGGTCTAATTTTTGGTTGGTCTCAATGGCCCTTATGAGTCCCTTCTAACTCAGGGTATTCCATGCCTCTACGAGGTGCTGAGCCCATACGGATGCATCTGGGTGCTCTGTATGCATCCTCTCCCTTTCATTCACACCCTTTGGCCCGCGGCGCTTTCATGGTAGACAGCAGCGTGGCTGTGTGCCACCCAGCTCAGGCTGTGTTTCAACAACCAGAGATGAATGTTATGCCTTGTACTTGGCAGCGGAAGGGGTCAGCAGAAAGCACCGTGCTGCGTGCCAGCTCCTCTGCTGTGAGCAAAGCGGGGCCACACAGGGCTGCTCCTGCACAAGGATGTCTCTGATGCACAAACCTCTGCACGGGGTGGCACCAGGGCTGCTTTCCCCTAGCGCCAAACCGGTGTCACAGCACCCTTCCTGCTGAGGCTGCTGCCAAAGGGCTGTTCTGCCCAGGTCCAAAGTCACGCAGCCTTGTGCCTTTTGGTTAGACTTGGGAACAGTGCAGGAGATAGAGAGCAAGCTGGAAGCAGCTATTCTGGGCCGTGTCTGTGTGTGTAGGGGGATGTTCTGTTTGACAGGAATAATAACCTGCAGTTGAATTTAGACTCCCACCCTGCCTTCGTGCTTCCTGAGCGGTAGCAATGTGTCATCTTCCCAGAGCCATTCAGGAAAATACACCTGGAGCAGCTGTGTGTCCCTTGGCAAGCTGGAAGCTGTGGACGAAATGGTGGCATTTGTCCTCCTCGCAGCAGCAAGCCCTGACCATCTATAGGAAGCATTCCAATGCTGCTTGAAAGTGAGTGGCATTATTTTAATCTTCAGCTTTCTTTCTGCTGGATGAGGAGCACGTTTCCTTGCCCAGACTGTCTCTCTCCTCAGCACACCCCATGTACACCTGCTGCAGGAAGGGCCTCATCTCCTCCTCTCCCTGGAGAGTGAGCTGGCAGCTCTGCCTGGTTGTCTGCTGCCTTCAGCCTGGATCATCCCTCTGCAGCTCTGTCTCTCACCTGCCTGGGCACTGCTAAATCTTCCCTGAAAGGAACAGCAATTTGTCAAGGAAAACAGGAAGGTCTGAGCCTCACGCGCCCCAAGGCCACTTAGCAGGGCTCTGGCTGTCTCTGGACACCTGCTTTCTGCAGCAGAGTGACAAGCAAGGCTGCAAAGCTTTTCTGGAAAGAGCTTCCTTCATCCTGCTCAGTGTTGGTGCCGCTGCCGTGAGCCCTTGTGGGAGAGCACTAAATGTGTTTTGCCCCCCCAGTCCTGGGAAGGTGTCATGTGCCCCACATGGAGTGATGTCTGCTCCGTGTGCTGTCAGCGCCTTCCTTTGTACTTCTCTGCACCAAGCCACTTATTGACTGGGAGTGTAATTGTGCTGCATCATGGCTAATTGGTTTGCTCTGTCGCTCTCCATTTGCTTTCTTGCTGCACTCTCCCCCCTCCCCGTTCCCCTGCTCGAATGCACTGAGCTGTGAGCGTGACTGGGGCACAAGGCCACCATCCTGATTGCTGGAGAAAAAAAGGCACCCACCTTCCTTCTTTCTTCTCCTAAATTCAAATGACAAGAAACAGAGGAAAACAATTTTGCGAACCCTTGGCGAAGGGCCAGCTCTGATAAAGAGCCGTAATTAATCTCCCCAGCTTTATTAGAATATCATTACAATTAACTCAGCAATCTTCTGTTGATCAAAGCCATTGTTCCCCTACAGAGCAGAGGAAGGCAGCGTGAGTTTGTGAGCCTGCATCGTGCAGGGGCTGAAGGCACCCAGAGCCGAAGCTCTCCTGCTGGCTGAGCAGCCAGCCTTTGGGTTCAGCCTATTCAGCAATGGGTTTATTCCTTCGTGTGTGCTGATGCAGTTCTTTGCCTGCCTGCTTCCCACTCTGGGCTGGAGATACAGCGACTGCTGCAGTAATACAGCCAACAGAAACACAACGGGTAAAGGAACGGGGGAAACATCGGTGGAAGCCACATTGTGAAGAAAGGAGAGTTGTCAAAATGAAGCTTACTAAGCTCTACAGTTAAATAGCCCAAGATGTGTGCTATAGAAAAGCAAGGAAAATGAGCATGGTTAAACTACCCCTTTCCTCCTTCTCAGACTGTTCTCTTAATATCGGGTATTTATCTGTAATTTAAGCCTGTGATTAGTTTTATCAAAAAGATAGTTCTGAGGCAGAGATCTTCAAAATGATTAGGTGTGTGTTTGAAGAAAAGAAAGCCGTGCTTGTGCTGCAGGATAAAGCTGTATCTGCTTGCTTCCTGGAGCATCCATCTGTGAGGGCCTCATGCCAGGAGGAATCTCCTGGTAGTGCACAGATCTACACCCCCTCTGTTCTTTCAGAACAGCCATCTGTCCCCTTCGAAGGCACCAATGCCAGAGCCTCCTAGGTGCAGGTCACCAGGCAGAGCAGTATGTTCATCTGAGGTGACCTCACGTGTCTCTTCTTCCTCACCACACTTCTGCTCCTTAGGGGATGCTTTGGTGGCCATTGCTGGGGTTCTGACAGCGTGGGCTCTCTGACAGCTCTGGGTGTGTGGACCTGGAGATGTCCTGCTCTCCAGCTCTCCATGCAGTACCAAGGAGGGGAACGGCTCCACTGTTGGAGAGGGTGTGGGGCTGAGCTGCTCACAAAGCCTTCCGTGGGGTCCTGGTGCAGCCATGCAGGGGTGGATCTGAGAAATGGGGCTGGGTGGCTGATACAAAGCAAACACTGTGCAGACGTTGAGGGTGGCACGCACTGCTACTGCTGCTGCTGCAGGCCAGGGGCGTAAGTAGATTAAAAAATGCAATCAAATGACTTCAAGGAAGAAAGGTTTGTTAAGGACTAATCAGAAAATGCTGCAGAGACAGCGTGGCTTAGAAACTCTCTCACCTCTGTTTGCCTGAGGCTGGTAGGGTGGTGCAGGAGGGCTATTAGAGTTATGCAGTGTTTGCCTTGGCCTTCTCTCTGCTGTGGCCATGCCTGGGTGACTCAGTGTGGCCCTTCTGGGGTGCAGACCTTCCCCAGCCCCAAACCCCGATCCAAGGAAGGGTGGAGTTCTTCATCTTCCCCAGGCTTATGTCCTTGGATAAGGTAAGGGAACCTCCTGTGGGTGCTGGGCACACGATCTCTCACCGCTTTTGGCAAGTGAGAAGGAGCTGAGCCTGGATGTGGAGTTGTTAGTGCCAGACTAGGAAAAAACCCATGAGGCCATAAAGCCTCTGAGGGCAGGGGTTACAGTGTCATGTTTGGTCTCCCTGAGGGCCTTTGCTGTCTGTCCCCATGCTGAGTGTGTCCTTCCCCCCTTTGTCTGCCAGTGCTCTCAGCACGGTGATGCCAGGAGGGGTGGGCTGAGGGCAGGAGGGTGCTCTGCTTCCATGTTGGGCTCAGCAAAAAAACAGTGCTGAGTCCAGGAGATGTGCTGCATGCCAGGCCAGGCTCAGAGGGAGCAGGAGCCAGGGAGGCTTTTCTGCAGGACTCCTCCACAAATGGCTGGGGACATCAGGCACTGTCACAGGGCTGAGTGAGATGCAGGGCTGAGTGTCAGGCTGTTATTAAATACCATTAATAAGTGACAAAACTTCAGGCGCAGACAATGGCTGGAGGAGGATTGTTGCTGCAGCAGGGAGACGGGGCCCAGGGAATGTCAGAGGCATCTGCTCTGTGCTCCCTCTCCTGCAAGAGGAGATGGGGTGGGATGGGATGAGATGAGATGGGGTGGAGTGGGGTGGGATGGAAGGTGGTGGGATGGGATACAGTGGGATGCTATAGGATGCTGTAGGGTGGGGTGGGATGGGATGAGATGGGATGGGTGCAGTAGTGCTGTGTAGGGAAACAACTTCTGTAATATCCTGGAGGCAAGTGGATAAGAAATGTTGCAAACAACTGTTTTTCTTGCAAAATATTCACTGTGCTCAGTGCTTGCTTTCCCCTGCTGCTCCCCCAAGGAGAACAAGAGCTGGAGGACCACTGAATGGCAGCGCCCCAACCAGCAGTGCCTGCATCTGCATGGGGCTGCCTGCTTGCTTCAGTGCCTGGAAGCAGCAGAGCACATGCACCTGTGGGAGGGATGAGCTGGAAGCCGAGACACCTTCAGTGATTATGGCTGGGCTGGGAGCTGAGGGACGGCAAGCGAGCTGATCAGCTGCTTGAGGCAATTGCAGGGTATCGTCAGCACAGAGAGAGACTTCCTGGCAGTTATTTAAGGCGAGATGCCCTACTTTTGTGCTTTCGGTGGAGTCCCTAATTATTTCTCAGCCTTTGTAGTGAGCTAATTGGTTTTGCAGTTCTCAGGGCTGGGGAGCACTGATAGGCTCAGGAAGCACGAGCCGGAGGGACAAGGAGAGGAGGGGCAACTGCTGGGGGACATCAGCACGGCTGGGTGTGGGGAGTGGTGGTAAAGCAGCGAGGGGTTATCGGGGGGATGGTGAGGTGGGAGGGTAGGCAGAAGGAAGGTGTCTTGTCTGATCTGAGCTGCTGCTTTTGAACGTCATTGGAACGTGTGGCCACCACATGCAGTGTGTGACAGCTCCAAAGTGCCCAGGTGGCATTGGATTTATTAGGGCATTATCCTGCTAGTGCTGCAAATGGTGTCATCTGTCTTCTAAACTTTGCACTTTATTTCAGGGAGAGAATTTAGAATATCCAGGCGATATGCTGAAGCTTTAGCATATGAAAAAGCCCTGCTGGGAAGTGTAGTTTTATTGATTTTGTTATTAAAGTGCCACTGGAATAAATTAGCTCATTTGACTGAAATGTCTCATTACCTGGATTGTAACAGGCACATGATGAAGTCTCCAGAGCTGCTTGCTGATGGGACCCACAGCCACCATCCTGCACCCTGCTCTGGGCATCCAGAGACCCCCAGCACTGCCTGAGTCCACGAGGAAATAGCCTGGAAACCTCAGGTGCCGTGGGGGGGAATGCTGTACTTTGTTGAGGTTCACACTGCTCCTCTGATCCTTGGCTCAGCTAAGTGCATTGTTTTAAAGGGAAAGAGGAAAAATTTCCTTCACAGGGCAATATTTCTTTAGTACCTCAGTAATGAAGGTGGATTGGGAAATGAACCGTTCCCTATTACAGTGGGACCTAACTGCACAGCCCATGCTTTCCAGTTAAAATTTGATTGCCTTGAATCCTGAAGATTATGGAAAATAAGAAAAAGGCCCAGTAAAATTTATGGCTTTTAATCATAAAGCAGTAGAATTGCAGTAAATCTATCATAAGCAAGCAGATAGGGACCCAGAAAAAAGAGGGAAGCCATAGGCCTGGTGCTGGGGTCTGGAGGAGCAGGGCTTCAGGATGGAGCAGGGCTGCAGCCCCCACCTCCTCCAAGGTGTTTATCCCACATGTGCAGGGCCCTTCTGTGCCATCCTGCAGAGTCATGGCCTGGCAAAGAGCTGGGCAGGGCTAGGGGGCATGAAGATAGTGAGGAGTGGTGAGGTGGGAGCAGGGGATGGGGCAGGATGGGGGGAGACCTTCATTCCCATTTTTAAGAAAGACCTGAGTAACTACAGACTGGGAGGATCATGGAGAAGATCCTCCTGAAAGAGATGTTAAGGCACATGAGGAGGTGATTCGAGGCATCTAGTGTGGCTTAACCAAGGGCAGATTGTGCCTGACCCATCTGATGGCCTTCTATGATAGAATGATGGCACTGGTGTACAAAAACTGAACATGGTCCAGCAGTGTGCTCCTGCAGTCTGGAAGGCTGATGGCATCTTGGGCTGCATCAACAGAGCAGTGGCAGTGGGCAGGGAGGGGATTGTCCCCCTCTATTCTGTCCTTGTGAGGCCCCATCTGGAGTACTGTGTCCAGGCCTGGGGCCCCCAGCACAAGAAGGACATGGAGCATCCTCTCCATGCACAGGGTGCAGAATGGGACCCACTGAGGGGAGCGCTGGGGGAGGTGTGTGATGAGAGGAGACCATGGAGAGCAAGGAGAACATGGACAGGGGAACAGCAGCAGGGAGAGAGGTGCACAGAATGATAAGGAGGAAAAGGGGAGAAAGTCAACGATTGACTGAAGGAGAGAGAAGAGAGGAAGGCAGTTAGTGGGAACAGAGCAAAAAAAATGGGGTAGTGATAAAGCCTGATAGAAATGGGAAGACCATGAGGAGCTGGGCAGCTCCTCATGAGCAGCCTCCCCTCCATGCCCTAAGCACACCTCTTCCTGTTTTTTTATGCTATTTTATAAAGCTTTGTATTTATCCTTATTAAAAAAAAAAAAAGTGAAAAGCATCTATCTGTGCTGCACAGCCCATGGTTACCTGATGAGCAGTGCTGGCAGTCAGCCCCTGCTCTCACCTGGTTAAACTGCAATAGAAACACACTGTAAATTTCAGCAGAGGAGAGAGAGAAAGAGTTTATTCTTTTTTTTTCCTCCCCATCTTTATGGCCATGAAAATTGCTGATCTGAGATGCTGGCCCTTCTAAAATGCTTTTCTCCTGCTCCATCCATCTGCTTTAATCACCCGGTGACTGAGAAAAAGAAATGATCCAGCTCACAGAGCAAAGATAAAAAAGTGGATGGTACACTGACAGATGGGGAGCTAATGAGCACGGGGGTTGCTCTCCTGGGGACCCCCCCAGCTGTGTGCTCAGGGTGTTCGGGTGCCTGGGAAGGGGCAGAGGGTTGCAGGACCTTGTACAGAGCAGAAGTAATATTCTCTCTTCTTTTCTAAAGCTCCCTTTTAAGACCTGATTCCTTCCCTTTGATTGCTGGGGTACTGCTGTGTGCTGCAAATACCTTGCTGAACTTGCTTGTTATTATTATTATTATTTTTTAAATCTCTGCATGTTGAATTAGCTCTTTTAATTATGAAATTAAAAAAGGATAACTGGGGTCAATTAAAAAGCTCTTTCAGACCGGCAGCGTTAATAGCTACACAGGAACATGGAAATCCCTCCACCCCTCTGTTGGCTGTTGAACTGCCAATTGAGTTGTCATCATCATCCTGGCAGAGCTTGGGCAGAGGTATGTGCACACCTCGTGTGGGGCAGAGCACGGTCCACACTGGTGCTGGGCACAGCTCCTCCTGAGGGCTGATCTCCAGGGAGCACCACTGGGTCCGTCCATTGGCCGCTGCAGCACATGGAGCTGCAGGCACTTCTGGTTTGTTTCTGTGGGTTCACTCCTAGATCACTGCATATGGTGGCTAAGCACTGCTGGGAGGGAGAGCTTGCAAGAAGCCATTGTGCTTTGACTCTTTTAAAAAGCAAAACACAAAGCAAATGGATTTAAAAATAGTTTGGTTTCAAAACTGAAAAGGAAGGATGGGTTAGAGATGATGAGAAGCTAAAACATGAAGCTCCCGAAGCCTGCTGTGGAGAAAGAAATGCAAAATGTTTTGTTTCAAGGTGAATGGAAAGCTGAAACCAGCAAAAAAAAAATCCCTCTTCCCATGAGCACAGATGTTTCAGGTTGTTTTTCCTAGATTAGCACATTGCTGGAAGAAAAGAAAATCCATTCTTTTCTCTGTCGGCACTCCAGGTTCCTGTTGCTTATTTTTTATCATGTTGTAGTGACTTTGATCCCCGAAGACTCCTTAAGTGCTTTACAAGCCAAGCATGCAAATCTGGGCTCATCCCCCGAGGTGCCACCGACACTATAGAAGAATCATAGAATCATTACGGTTGGAAAGGATCTCTAAGATCCCCCAGTCCAACTCCAACCCACCCCGCCATGCCCAATGACCACATCCCCCAGTGCCACATCTCCACGGTTCTGGAGCACCTCCAAAGTGACCCCACCACCTCAGCCTGTTTCAGTACATCACCACTCTTTCTGAGAAGAAATGTTTCCTGACACACCATGGTGATAGGCGACCCACAGCAGCATCAGGGCAGCCTGCCCCCACCTCCTTGCTGCAGCCCCGGGCCTGTTCCCCCCTGGCTCAGGCAGAGTGTCTGTGTTTATTTATATATGTGTGTAATTTCATATTTCCAGACGAGCCTGGAAGCCAAATTCCCTCGGACGTGCCTGAGGGCGCTTGCAAGTCTGACTGCCAGCTGCCATGTGCCCAAGTCCTCCATGAGAGTCATTGCAGGTAGGAAACCTCAGTGGACCCCATCACCGCTTGTGCTGCTGGGTGCTGCAAGGCCGGGTTCCAGCAGGGCACTGCCTGCCTGTGCTACAGCACTGCAGCATCCCTGCCTGCAGGGAACGATGTCCATTGGAGAGGAGAGACAACTGTACTGCTGGCAACGGCGGGCAGACAATCCTCTCCCACGGTCCCCCAGGCATCCCCAGTCCCACTGCCATCTGCATTGGGGCTTTCAGTCTTTGCACACAGAGGGCAGGCAGACAGCCCTGCTCTGTGCTGCTTACGCACATCAGAGACTCGGCCCTGCTCCCCTGGGCTTTGAGGGCTGAGCTCACCACTCTGATGGGCATTTGGGAATTGGCTGTAAAAATACAACCGGTCCTTGGCAAAGAAGCTGAATTCCTCTGGGTGCGCTGCGCAGAGCCTAGGGCACCATGGAAAGTGTCTTTTCTGGGCAGCAAGAGCCCTTGGTGTCAGCAGGAGAGTCACTGCCTGGGGCTGTTCTGAGCAAGATGGCTGGAAAGCGCCTCCTGGAAAGTGCCTCCGAGACCACAGCTCCAGAGGGGAGAAACCGAGCAGTCGCCAGAGATACAGAAGTCAAGATTTTGCATTCCAACTATCTATAGGAAATAGGGTTTTTTATTATTTCAAGTTTTCATAAAAATTCATAATTATTGAAATCAAAGTTACAGAAGAAAGTTTGTAACTTTTTATTGATTTTATTTCTTTTTTTCTTTTTTTTTTTTTTTAGTTTATTTCCCCCCCTTGTTGTTTTTCCCTCTCAGAATTATATCTGACACCAGAGTCCATCAGACAAAGTCCTTACAAACACAGGAGTCCTGAAGACATCGGCTGAATGTTTTCCTGGTATAAAGAAGAAGAGGAGGAGAAAGAGGTGGTGACGGTGCGGGTGCAGAGAGTTTGGACTGGGACGGAGGGCGTGGTGGAAGGAGAGAGGTCGGTATGTTTGTACCAATGTTTTTAAATTATTTTTTTTATTTGTTCATATGTTCTCTTTTTTAAAAAAAACAAAACAAAACAAAAAAAAACCAACCAAAACTATTTGCAAATTGTTGCCTGGTTAAATCATTTTCATATTGAATTTGCGCGGTGCATCGGCAGAGCTGATGCCTGCGTCAGACTTGCGTGGCACGTACTCGATTTCAATGTTGTGCTTGGTGTTGCCTTTCCCCCGGCTCCACAGGAAGAGGAGCACCAGACAGAAGAGCACGACGCCCAGGAAAGAAATGAAGCCCATGGTGGTGGCGATGATGAGAGTCTTGATGTCAAAGGGAAAAGGCACGGTGGCACGTGTGCTGTTGGCATCGCTCTCGTTGGGCTGGTTGGAGATGAACGCGAAGGTCTTGTTGGGCTGGTGGGGCCAGTCTGGGGAGTAGCTGCGCACGTGCAGGTGGGCCAGCATGGTGTCGTTGCCACCCGCGTTGCTGGCAATGCATAGGTAGGTGCCGTTGTCCTGGATCTGAGCGTAGCGCACCTCCAGCGTGCCGTCAGGGAAGACAGTGAGCCGCCCGTTGGTTTTGGTTGAGATGAGGTGCTTCCGGGGAGAAAGCCACATGATGGCGGGTGGCGGATCCCCGTCTGCCCGACAGACAAAATGCACCGTGTGGCCTTCGTCCACAAAGATCTGCTGAGGTTTGCGGTCCCGTATCCGAGCTCGGCGGCAGGTGAAGTAGTTGGGCAGGAGGACGTCAGGGAAGTCTTTGAACTCCTTGCCCTGGACGAACTCAGGGGTAGAGCAGGTGGGCTGCTGCTTATTGAAGTTCAACCTCCATCGCCGTCGGAAAACCCAGAGCAGCCGACAGTCGCAGGCTAAGGGGTTGTTGTCGAGGATGAGCGTCTCCAGGTTGCCCACCGAGTGGAAGGCCGACTCTTCCAGAGTGGTCAGCAAGTTTCCTGACACGTTCAGGATGCGCAGGTAATTGAGGCCACGGAAGGCAAAGGGCTCGACCGTGGTGAGCTGCCCTCCCACCAGCTGGATCTCCTGCAGCCTGAGCAGGTCATGGAGCATGGAGCCCTCGATGGTGACAATGGGGTTGTAGGACAGGTTCAGGAACCGAAGGTAAACCAAGTGCCTCACCGACACGTACGGGATGGACGTCAGGTTGCAGTGGGTGATGGACAAGGAGGTCAGGTTCAACCCATACAGGCAGTTGGATGTCATGGTATCCAAGTAGGGCCAGTGTGAGATCTCGAGGACCTTAAGCCTGTACAGCCTCTTGAATGAGTAATCCCGGATGGCGTTGATGTTCAGGTGGCGCAGCCGCAGCACAATCAGGCCGTGCAGGTGAGACAGGGCCTCCGTGGGGATGGAGGTCAGGTTGCATTTCTCCAGGGTCAGCTGCTCCAGGCTGTTGAGGCCGCTGAAGGCCCGGTGGGAAATGTAGACAAGGTCGTTGTCCCCTACCTCCAAAGACTTCAGGTTGTACAAGTCCTGGAACATGTAGTCTAGGAGGATCACAATTTTGTTCTCACTAATGTCTAGCTTGGTAAGATTGCTGAGTCCAGTAAACACCCCCAAGGGGATCAGCTTGAGTCTGTTACTCCTGAGCCCCAGCGTCCTGAGGTTGAAGAGGTTGTTGAAAGCCCCAGGTTCAATGGCACTGATAATGTTCTCGTTTAGCTCCAGCTCTTCAAGGTGAGGGTAGTTGGCAAATTCATCCTGGTTGAGTGTCTTGATGCGGTTCTTACCCAAGTCCAGCTGCCTGGTCTCCGTTGGGATCCCCTCTGGGACGACCATGAATCGCTTCCGATGGCACAGCACAGCACGCTCCTGGGCAGAGCACTCGCAGCGCGGAGGGCAGCCCGTGGCAGAGCCGGACAGGATGGATCCCAGCATCAGGAGGAGAATTGGCTGCCAGCAGGCCAGGATTGGGCTGCGCATACTCGCCTCCCCAGCTAACATCCTATCTCTCACCTGCAAAACACAGGGCAGAGAAAGAGAAAAGGTGGAGGTGAGCAAACACTGCGCAGAAACGAGGAAGAAGGTTTACCATCCCGGTAGAGGTGACATTATCTACCACCTAACAAGGTGAAAACTCTGTTGGTACTTTGATTTCAGAATCCTCAAAAAATACCAGATGAGACACTGGTCAGTGGCCGGTATGAGACTGGAACTCTGCAGGGAGAGGGATCACCACACACTAAGACAGCAGGAAGGCTTCTCACACATGGGCAAGAGATGGGGCACCATATCAGGGAACTATTGTGAGCACACAGCTAAGACACAGGGTGTGCTCTGCATGCTCCTATATAGAGGTGCATGCCCCTACACATCGTGTGTGCACCTCTAAGACATCAGGAGCACTTTGCAAGCCCTTATATAGCAGCTGTTACACACGTGCCTCTGACACTGGGTGTGCTTTGTATGCCCTATATAGGGACTGCTCTGTGTGTGTCTCCAGGCACACTCACTGCCACTGGTAGAGACCATAGAGCTCTTGCTTCTAAGACACTGGGTACATTTTGTGTGCAGTTATGTAAGGGCCGTCACATGTGCACCTCCAAGACACTGGGTGTGCTTTGAGAGGCCCTATACAGGGGTCACTGTGCATGCCTCTAACACACTGGATGCATGCCTTTAACACACTGGGTGTACTTTGCACACTCCCAGATAGGGACTCCTCAGAGACACTGGTTACACTTTGTGCAGCCTAATAGAGGGGCTTCTACACACACACCTCTAAGACACTGGGTGTGTTTTGTGTGCCCCTATATAGGGGCTGTCGAGCTCTTGTCTCTAAGACACTGAGTGCATTTTGCATGCAGCTACATAGGGGCCATCATATATATCTCTAAGACAAAAGGTGTACTTTGAGCATCCCTACATGGGGGCCATTGTGCAAGTGCATCTAAGACACTGGGGGTCCTTGTAAGAGGCCAGCTTGCCTTATGCACTGAGAGTCTGTGAACTGTGGCTGCATAGGAAATGTGTACTTCATCGGGTACAGCATTCCTCAGTGATGATCTCAAAACACAGCTTGAGGTCAGCCAGCTTCAGGGCTGCACTCCTCCAGGCTCACCATTTCCTGGTTCCAGGCCCTCTGTGAGGCCCTCTGCTGCCTGTCCTGAGAGCACTGGTGGCCTTCCCAGGGCATTGTATGGGCAGCTCCTGTCCAGGATTGGGACAGAAAGGAGTTCTCCCTCACTGCCTCCGTGGCGTTCCTTCTCTTATTGTGTAAGCTGCTATGAGGAATCAAATCATATTAATGTTACAAATGAGATGAGCAGCTACTCTGGACTTTGTTTATATCTATTGTTATGTGTAGGCTCTGCATCGCTTCTACCAACGCTATTTATGGCTATCGCTGCATTGCTTTATATCCCTCATTACATGCACTGTCCATTACTTTCCCTACTGCAGCACTATTTATGGGCCTGGTATACATTCTGTGCGTTACTTTAATTGTGTCTGTTTATATGCATCATTTCATAGAGCTAGATGGCATAAGTATAACTTTTGATGCAGAAAAATAAATTCAGCATTTCTTTGCAAGGTTAAGGTTTTGGGATGAGCGATCCTGGACGGGCATAAAACCATCCACCAGCACCATCTTGGAGCCCAGCAGGCCTTGGCATGCCAGGCTGAGATCCGGCTGGGCTGTGTGCTGTGGAATCCTCCATGGCTCCATTGGGCCATGCAGTAGGTGAAGCCCTTCCAGGCATGCCACAAGGCAGACCCTGAACCCTGCCTGACCTCGCAGCACCTGACTCCCACCCGAGGTGCCCGGCTGGGATCGGGGCTGATGGCTACGATGCACGAGCTGGTACCAGCTGGGGAAAACTGCAGCCCTCTGGCACCAACATAGAAAGTGAATCGATAAGAAGGGAGCAGCTGCCGGAATCACTAGCGTCACACAAATATCAAATCAGTGCAAACCAAAGGAAAAATTGTGCCCAGAGACATGGCATCCAGCACCCATCCTCACCACCCGCTGCCTGGGGACGGGGAGCTCGGAGGCACAGCCCCCTCCTGGGGCAGAGCTGCTGAGGGGCACAGATGGCCCATGGGCACGGTGCTAAATGCAGCAGTACCCGCTGAGCTGGGAGGAAAGATGCTATTCTGGGGCCAGGCTGCTGACGTGAGCGGGGCGCGCTGCTGTGACGGACACAGGAGGAACATCCCCAGAGAAACCAACTCTGGGATGTCACCAAGGAGCCCCACTGTGCGCCTGGGCTCACCCTGGGGTGCTGCTGCCTCCCGGCCCCAGCCGTGCCGTGCTTGCTGCCCGCAGGGTGCCCGGCACTGGGGCTGGAGCTGCACCATGCAATCTGCTGCGCCGACAGCAAGCGAGCGGCAAAACCCCCGCGTCAGCGCTAAGCCCACCTGGCATTCATAAATTACAGCGCGTGAGACGTTCACCCTTGAACCAGATGCTTTTGAGGCAATCGAGGACGGAGTCAGCCAAATCCCTGAGGCCTCACAGTGCGCGGGGCCAAAGCAGGGCTGAGGGGCACGGCTGAGGGCACAGCTGTGGGTGGGGCTGTGGCTATAGGTGCGGGCAGGGGGTCAGCCACCAGCTCAAGCTCTCCTCCGTACCACTGCCTTTGCACGGAGCCTCTGGGATGCAGCTCTCAGAGTCAGCGCTCTCCTCAAAGCTGCTCTGGCTAAATCAAGTTTTATTGAACTTGACTACATTTTAGAGATAAAGACTCCAGGTTTACAAATAAATATTTAACAACCTTTCCCGCTGCTAGAAGAGTTGCTTATCCAGACCCCGGGCTCTGCGCTAAGTGTTCCTGTAGCTATCTGCAAAGCAGCAGAACAAAGGGAGAAGCTTTAATTTGCCAAACACATTCGTGCCCATTTCCGCCTCTCTCCATCACTCCCTCTGCGCCCAGTGCACATTCACGGCCTCTTTCCTCCATCTCCCTGCTCCCACCCCAGGTGGGATGGCACCATCTCCCCGCTTGGGAATGTGCAGCGCTCCGGGAGGTTGCACAGAAGGATCTCTGAGCTGCAGGATCTGCTTTCAGCTGCTCCGAGATGGAGCCTGGAATAGGTGCGCCGCAACCTGATCTGCCGTGGCAGTTGCTCCGGGGCTGTAAAAGAGCACGAAGAAGTATCCAAGATGTAAATCCCCTTCCGGCACCGACACGGCCTGGCTGGCACCAGGTGCCCACAGCTCCCGACCCATGGGACTGCTGCGCAAAGGGCTTTCCCTTGGCTATGGCTCTTCCTCCCCCAAAGTGCAGCAGTCCCATTGCCCTGGGGCGGTAAGTCAGCAGGGTGCTGACAAGGAGATCCCGTCAGCTCCATGGTTCTGCTGAGGCCCTCTCGCTGAGATCGCAGCTGTGCAGAGCTGCTCACCCTCCTCACACCTTTGCTCCCTCGTTTTTCAAGGTTTTTTTCTCTCTTTGGCTGCACATGCTTCAGTGACCCATCAGCAAAGAAAACATCCTGACAAGTGATCAATAAGTAATTGCAAAGGCAGCTGTGGATGCCTCGGGTGCAGAGCCCTGAGCTAGCAGGAGATAAATGAGCATGGGAAGGTGCAGTACACCGTGGAGCTCAGGCTGAGAGCCAGCCTTACTCCGTGCACACCAAACTGCTGCAGCCAAGGGCTGCCCGTAGCTGAGCAGTGCCTGGGGGGCTGTGTCTGCTCAGGGATGTCCCCTGAGGGTCTGCCCTCGGAGCAAACCCTGGAGATGTTTTAAGCTGGGTCAGCAGGAGAGCAAGAGGTGGACTGTGAAGGATCACAGAACCATTAGGGTTGGCAAAGGCCTTCAAGATCATCTGGTACAACCCCAACACATCCCACCATGCACACTGCCCACGTCCCTCAGTGCCGCATCTCCATGGCCCTGGAACACCTCCAGGAATTGTGACTGCACCACCTCCCTGGACAGCCTGTGCCACTGTTTCACAACTCTTTCAGAGAAGTTCCTCCTGATAATTCAACCTGACCATCCCCTGGTGCAACTTGAGGCCATCACCTCTCATCCTATTGCTGTTACCTGGAGCAGAGGCCGACCCCCACCTCACCACAACCTCCTGCCAGGGAGTTGGAGAGGGCAGTAAGGTCTGCCCTGAGCCTCCTCTTCTCCACTCTGACCCATCCCAGCTCCTCAGCAGCTCCCCATAACACTTGTGCTCCAGACCCCTCACAGCTCTGCTGCCCATCTCTGGACACGCTGCAGGGCTTCAATGTCTTTCTGGCAGAGAGGGGCCCAACACAGTACTCAACGTGCAGCGTCACCAGAGCCCAGTAAGAGGGACAATCACCTCCCCAGTCCAAGGACATGCACCAGCTGTCCAAATGGGGCTTGCCATTTTATTTATGGCAGCAAGCCTCCCCTCTGAGAGACCCACCTCTGGGGACACGGGCTGCTGCAGGCGCTCAGCACGAGGCACCCAGCTCAGTGAGCACCAAGCACTGGGCAGGAGCGGAACTGAAGGGCTCTGTAGAGCTTTGTGCTTCCCTGCATTTAGCTGTGGAAAGGGGATGGAAAAAACCTCCTCGGACTGCGGAAACATTTGCACCAGAACGACAAAGGAGCATCTCCTGGGAGAGGCGCCAGGGTCATGCTGACATTGGGAAGGCAGTGCTCACCTCGCCATGCCCTTATGGGACAGAGGCAGCTGCTGGAGCCCATCCACCATCCCCTCAGTGCTGTGGGGTCAGGGCAGCGTGCCGTCCCATGCAGCCTGGGGTGTGACTTGCTGTGCAGAGTCTGGGTCCCCACTCCTGCATCCCAGTCCTGCTCTGAGGTGAAGCCCTGGATGGAGACACTGATGCTGTGCAGCCCCAGCAGGTGAGGACCAGGCTCATCCCAGCCCTATGGAGCGGTGCTGCTGCTGGAGACTGTGGGCACATCCATTACGTTACGTTTAAGGTCAGCCCGTACTCACAGCACCGCTTCTGTTCCCACGCCTTATCCTAAAATACACCCACAACCAGCGTAATGCCCTAAAAAAAGGCTGATCCGGAGCACTGCGTCGTCCCCCAGAAACCTTTGGGATAACAGCAAGAGGACTTCAGAGGACACAGCCCCACAGCTCCAGGGAACCTGCTGATGTACCTCTGGTTTGGACCGGCCCTGGTATAATCACACTGCTGCCCCAAATGAGCAGCCCCACAGCACTTAGAGAGGGGCTGACTGCAGAGCAGGGGAGCATCACTGTGCCCCCCCATCTGCCTCCTGCCCAGAGCCTTCCTGTGAGCCACATCTCCACCTGTCCCAATTATTGCTTCCTTCGCGCAATAACAAATACAGCGCTGCGGGAATGTCCAGAAATGGAGAAAAAAAGGCAGCAAAGGAAAACACGAGTGATGGTGAACGCAGAGAAGATTCCTCTTCCCAGCCCAGCTTTCTTTGTGATGATTTCACACGTAGAATTCCTTTTTCTTTCCCCTTTCTTGCTTGTTTGATTTCTGCATTATTTATGGCTTGTCTTTGGGGCCTCTATTTGCTGTTATTGTTTCATCCAACAATAAAACACATTAGATACAAACAAAGAGCACAGAGCCGCGGCGGAGCCCCGTCCTACACTGTTGGATGGGGCCGGTCTGTGCACCCCCAGCCTGACCCCATGGCTGCAGGGTGCGATGGGACGGCACGGCAGGAGCAGGGTTGTCCCCGTGGCAGGAGCAAGACTGTCCCCATGGCAGGAGCAGGGCTGTCCCCACGGCACAGAGCTGCCATCAGCACGGTGCTGCGCGGTGCTTTGGTTTTGTTCCGCCTGAGCTGAAAGCGATGCTTTCCGCCCTTTCCTCCTCCTCCCCAGCGGTGGTGATAATAACACAGAGGCTGCACTCCGGGCTGTATGTGAGAACAAAAGTAATCACGTGGAAACACAGCGCATGGAAATTAAATCGGAAATGCAAGGGCTGGGTTTCCATTTCGGTTCGGCTTCTGTATCGTTTCCCATTGAAAAGGATAAACAGAGTGAGCGCCAATCAGCCTAATGGCAGCACCTAATGGCAGCACAATTCCATGCTTCCCGAAGCAAATTGCAGCTCCAGCCCAGGGCCCAGCGCCAGCTCTATGGGACGGCCGTGGCACGGCACAGCTCGTGGGCAGGGAGGGGTTCCTGCTGCACCCAGCGTGCCCATGTGGGAGGAGGAGCACCCAGCAGCACCTGTACATGTGCCCAAGATCTGCCCCTCACCGCCCGGGTGCCTCCGGGTCCACATCGCTTGTTTCCCATTTCACACTCGACATCTCCAATCTCAACAATGAGCTGGAAGAATGGATTGCGCCAAAATATTTCTGCTTCTCTCTCCGGCGAGAATTCCCCATCGGAGACCAATCCAATTAAGGTGCTGGTTATGAAATTAACCGTAATTACAAGAGCGATATTTAACGTTTTGCATTCTGATGAAGAAACGGAACGGAAATGATAAAAAGAAAAAGAAAACAAGAAACCAATCCATTATAGTTGTGGGTCCTAGCAAGATAAGTCAGAGCAGCATGGGGTGGTGGGAGGGCTGGGGCTGGGCTGTACTGTAGGGTGAACAGTGCCTTTCTGTCCCCAAAGCATGGCACCGACCCCACTGGACAGCATAACCTGGACCCCATCAGGCTGCTGGAAATGTGGGCAGAGAAAGCAGGGCAGCTCCAAGGCAGGATGAGGGTGCAGCCCCAGCAGCATGCAGAGCAGGGGCACGTGGCAGTGGCACGGAATGCTCTGCATGCGGCCGTTCCCCTCCACAGTTCCAATTTCTGCTCCCCCAGGTGGGGAGAGAGAGAAGGGGAGGGGAAAAATGGGCTTGGGAGAAAATTGAGGCCACGGCCTTTGGTTGGCTTCTCCCTTTATTTTTCTTGGGTTGTTTGATTTCAGTTAAGTGTCCGCAGCTCGCTGCTCTCCCCCCACTGGAGCCACGCCAGCCCTTTGCCTACCCAAAGCCATTCCTGCTCTGCCAGGACAGACCCCATCAGCACTGCTGTGGTGCAGGGCAGCCCCAGGAGGGCTGCCATACAAACCAGCAGCACACCCTGCCCAACACAGGTGTCGGGGGGCAGCACCCCATGCATCCATCAGTCCTCGCTGGGCCACGATGGGCTCCGTTTGCTTTAGAATCCAGCGACTGTAATTACGCTGCAATTACACTGTGATTGTGGCGATATTATAAAGTGATTTATCAAGCCCTGAAATGAAAGCTCACGTCAGAGGGTTTTACACTTGTTACGTGCAGTGAGCAGCGCAAACTTTGGCGTCCTTACGGCGACCGTCTTAAGCAGGAAAGCAAAGGAACAATAAGTCATTCCGTCGTGCCGTTCACCTTCCCGTGATATGAAGCAGTGGTAATTAGTGGTATCGCGGAGTAATTGCGTTACAGGTGTGGAATAACAGCAGCACGGTGCTATATTAAGGAGGTGTAACCACCTGCTTTGTAATGAATCCCCCCAGCCAAGTGCCCGGGCAGCGCAGCCCTTCCCACAACTCCTGCAGCACCGCCCTCCGCCCGCCTGAGCCCCATGAGAGCCCCCGAGCGGTGCCACAGCCCCGGGCACCTCACCGGGACGGGAACCCCTCGGGGCACCCGGTGCTCTGCACGGGCATCTGCAGCTGCCGGGGGAGCTGCAGGGAGGGCCGTTTGCTGGGGAAGGGCTGCGTGGGCACCGCTGGGTTGGGGGCACGCAGGGGGTGCAGCTGAGCCCACAGCGAGGAAAGCCGCTCGCACGGAGCCCGCAGGCGTTTGCCGCACGTCCCTCCTTCCCGGCAGAAACCCTTCAGCGGCATCAGCGCTCCCACCTCAGCCCGGAGCTGGCACCTCCAGCCGCGCGGCTGCCTCGCACTCTGGGCTATCCGCGCTCGGCGAGGCGCAAGGTGAAAAATCCGATCATCCGCGGACAGCAGCGGAGCAACAAGCGGCAGCCGGGGGGGGTTCGGGGCAGCCCTCGTGCCCTCCTGCCCCGAGAGCCCCTTCCCCATTAACCCCTTCTCCTCCTGCCGGGCGCAAACCGAGGGCGAAGCGCTGTCAGAATTCCCCCCCCCCCCCCCCGCCGCTCACCCTCCAATTAGGAGCCCGAGCACGGGGACCCTTCAGCGCCCCGGATTCCACCTCAGCCCTTCCACCTGCCAGCTTCTCCCCGCGGCCCCACCGGCCGTCCCTGAGCCCGATGGCGACGGAGGGCTCAGCGATACCCCCCGGCCCCCTCCCGCGGGCCGCTCCCCGGGGCCGGGCGGCGCGTCCCTGCCTGCCTCCGCCCGGGGCCGGGCGCAGCCGTGGGGCGATTTTCCCCGGCCCCGGATGGCAACGCTGGGGCCGCCGCCGCTTTCCGCCTCCGCAGCCCTCCCTGGCTGGGAGCGCTGCCCCGGCCGTACCCCACCTGCATGTGTAATCCGCTGCCGGGCGGCTCGGCTCCTCCATCCGGGGAGCGGGAGGGCTGCCCCTCGGGATGCGGCTGCGGGCAGGGCGGGGCGGGGGCCGGGGGAGCAGCGAGGAGGGCTGCCGGCAGGAGAGGGGCGGCGGGGGCGGCCACCGGCGGGGCCCGGGGTTCGCGTCCACCCCCCTTCCGTCCCCCCCGGCGCGGCAGCCCCGCTCCCCGCTCGCCCCGCGCCCGCTCCCTCCCGGCATCGCCTCCACGCTTACCTGCATCTCATCCTCGCCGGCGATCTCCTTCGGTCAGAAATGGCATCTCCCCCGGCCCCCACCCCCTCCGCCAAAATCTCCACCTGCAGTAACGCAGCTCCCCCTCTCCGCAGCGGCCGCACGGGAAGGCGACGGCTCTCCCGGCTCGTGGGTCCGCCCGGCTCCGGTCGCCCCCGGCTCCGCTCCGGCACGGGGAGCTGCGGGGCCACCCTAGGGACGTATCGCGGCCGGCGGCCTCCCCTCCGCGCCCGGCGCCGTACTGCGGGGCGGCGGCATGGCCCCGCCGGAGGCTGCCACGGCCCGGGCTCCGGCTCTGCTTCGGCGCGGCCGGGCTGGGGCTGGGGCTGCAGCCGGAGCCGGAGCAGCCGCCGCCGCCGCCGCCGCGCCGGCCCCCGCCTCCCCTCCGGGAGGAGCCGCCGGCGGGCGCGGGGCGGTGCGCGGAGCCGAGCGGGTCGGTGCGGAGCCGCCGCCAGTCCCCTCCTCCCGCCGCCTCCCCCGCGCCGAGGGGCGGTGGGTTCGGGGCCGCGGGAGCGCCGTGCGGGGAGCGGCGCCCCCAGGGGCCGGGGACGCGCGTCGCCGCCGCCCGGCGCTCCGCTCCTCTCTCCTCGTCGCAGCCCGGCACCGGAGCGGGAGGACGGGGCGATGGGCCGGGGGAGCCGCGCGGGCGCGGGGCTGAGCGCTGCCGATCCCCACGGGCCGGCGCCGGGCTCACGCTGAGCCCTCAGCGCTGCGGGCAGCTGGCAGCACCCGGCACTCCGCGCTGTGCCCGCCGCCTCAACCCTGCCCCGGTGGGTGCCGATTTATCGAGCGGCATCGGCCCCTCTTCTATCGAAGATATCCCTGGTGATAGTGAACACCGACTTTGCGACCGATGTGCTCCTTTCCCTCCCGCCTCCTCTCAGCAGGGCTGCCCGGTAGGTCCCGCATGACCAAGCTGGGTGCGAGGCGGCCGCTCCAGGAGCCCAGAGCCGGGCCCTCGGCGTGGGGCTGGGCATCCCGCGCTGAGCCCCGGGAGCCTTCCCTCGGGCGGCCCTAAAGCCCGTGGGAGCTTTTGAGGAAGAGGATGGCTTGGCCTTCCTCCACGAGCCATTAACTGAGCGCAGGGGTGGGGATTCCCACGCAGACAGGCGCCCTCCGTGGGCTGCGTGCCCGGCAGCCATCCATCCCTTGGGGACGGCGTTGGGGCAAACCCCGTGCTGCTGCTCCCCCGGGGCCTGCAGAGCAGCAGCGATCCTCCCGGCTCCGAGCAGCACGGGAACAAACAAGGGGTGGGCACCGCCAGCTCGCCCGCTGCAGCTGAATCAGCCGGCAGTGCCGCTGCCCACCCGCCGGCTGCCGGCTCCTGGCACACGGGGAGCGCAGCGCAGCGCAGCCCCTCTCGGCGCAGCTCAGGCCTTCCCTCGCGCAGATCGATGCCTCCTATTATGACGGCTATTTCAGCGATGCCATCGATGTTAATAGCACTTCACCAACACAGACAAAGCCGGCGAGCTGAATGCATCCAGGAAGAAAAAACAGAGGACAAAAGACAGGCTAAGAGCGCTGAATGCTGTTTTCAGTTCTTTTCCCCCCTCCTCCCCCCACACACACCGTTAAAGCCCCACTAAAGTGCAGGGCACTGCGCGTTCGGGAACAGCACTCCAGAATAATTCCTGGCATTGTCTGGTTCGTGAGAGGGGGACTTTGTCTCGGCCGTGCCGCACAGCCGCGGTGCTATGCGCTGCCGGGAAGCAGGGGGCCTCCCAACACCGCCTTTCCAACAGAGATCCCCACCCCGTGGCTCGCAAGGGACGAGGATGGAGCTTGGCGTGAGGGCACGGACAGCCCAGGGCCCTGGAGCCCGGTGTGTTCCCCCAGCATGGCACCGGGGCCGAGCTGGCAGGAGGGGGACGGGTTTTCATCCCTCCCGTTATTATTATAGTTCCTTCTCTTTTCAGATTTTCACACTTTTTGCCGTAACGAGCTGAGCTGAGAAAATCCATGCAAATGCCAGGCGGAGATAAGATGCACCGCGCCTTGAAGCACTGCCAGCATCGGCTCTGGGAGCACCGCATCCACTGCCTGCCTCTCTGCACCGCTCCCACGGGGTGGGGGCTGCAATCCCCAGCTCCCGCCATGCCCAGCACCATGCACACCGTGCCCTGCCCACAGGTGCTCCTTTCCTCGAAGGTGGTGACATTTGGGGATGTGTGTGGGGGGCAAGGCGGGGATATTCCTCTCCCCCATTCCCGCGGCCATCTGGCCGTGTGCTGGTGCCTCCTCGCAGCAGGCTGAGTCAGTCCAGTGTCTTCTCATTACCAGCTGGAGGGAGTCCAAATTCTGCATGGTACGCCTGCTCCCGAGCGAAACCGGGGATGGTTATCAAGTATTATCATAATGGTTTCTCTCCGGGTGCCTTTCCACGGCCTGCTGACGGACATGGAGCAGAAGGCGCCCCAGTCCCATGCAACCCAAATCCTCCAACCTTCAGCCAGTGCTGGAGCCCGACCTGAGGCCCAGCAGCAGGCTGTGGAAGGGCTCCATTCAGCTCTGGAGCTCATTGACACATATGCAGAAGGTATTAATAATATCGAGCATCTCCGCGCCTATTGTAGCCCACATCCAGGAGATGAAAGATAATTTCTGGGACAAGGAAGTTATGACAGTGACAGCTTTTTAACAGCTTGGCACAATAGGAGAGGCACAATGGGACAAAGCGATGATTAAAGCTCTCAGCACAAAGTAGTGAGGGCCGGGAGAGCACAGTGAGCATGGGGGGGGGGTGGGGAAGGACAGTGGAGTCCTGTCGAGAGCCAGCACTGAAAGAAAGCCAAGGGGAGAGTGGTGCAAGGGAAGGGACAAAGCCGGGGTCAGGGAGGTGGGGGAAGGAGCCCCTCAGCCCATGCTGGGATGGGGCTGGGCCCTGTGGCTGTGCCAGGCACACGGTGGCATTCCTGACAACCCGGCGGAGTCGTCATTACCAATATTTGGTGTTTCTTTGCACACGCACGCACTCCCCTCATGTACATCGCGCATGTAAACAGCCGCCTAGTGACATTTGCACGCCCAATTACACCTGTGTATCATTGATTTACATGCACAGTTGGAGAGCAATTAAAACACTAGAGCCTGCTTCGCACTTTCCCACGGCCACCACGGGACGAGTTTTGGCCCCATCCCTCGGGCTCACACCTCTGCTGCTCCCCCCGGGTGAGCACAGAGCCCAGCACTGCTGTGTGCCCACCGTGTGCCGGGCAGTGCCGAGCTGTGCACATGCCAGCACACCAGGCCCAGCCACCACCCTTGCAGCACATGGATGCTCAGCCCTGGGCAGCGTTGCCTGGCGCCTTCCCAAAAGGGATTAAAGGCAGGGAGTGAGAAACATAAACGCTTGTGTAATTATGTGCAAAAAGCCCCTTAATAATTTATAGAGGGTAAATATCTCCATGTGTTATCCGAGTGTGGCTCGTTGTCCCGTTGGCTAATACCCAGTGTGCACGCATGGCAGCCTTTATCTGGGAGGCTGCTCTGCCCTTAATACCTGCCATAAATTATTGAATTTATAAAGAGGAAAGCAGGTGTCATGTCATTCCTACACACTGCTCATTCGTTACAGCTAACGAAGGTGGGGAGCAACGCTTTCCACTCTCCTCATCTCTCCCTTGTGGCTACTGGCAGAGATGTGGCACAGCAAGGTGGGTACGGGCATCACAGCACCCCTGCCCTGGACAAATGGATGGAAGGATGGATGGATGGATGGATGGATGGATGGATGGATGGATGGATGGACGGATGGCACTGCAAACACAGGGGGTGGGGACATGGAGCACCTTCCCGCGGGCACACCGCTGAGTCAGGCAGCACGAGGCTGGGTGCAGGAAGGCAGTGAGCACCCAGCAGCCCCCACACAGCCCCCGTGCAGCTCTGCCCCAGCCCCATGCCGTGGGCCAGGAGCCGTGCTGCAAGCAGCTGGCTCGGGGGCTCCAGGAACGACGCGCTTTGGAGCTGGGCCCCCACGCACACCTCTCCAAATATAGCACGTGTGCATTGGAAAACAGAAACGGCACTGGGGGGATGCGGGGAGCTACCCACAGCACCAGGCTGCTGGCTGCAGGGAGCTGTGTGATGGATGGGGGATCCCAAAGAACGGCTGCGGGGCCTCACAGGCACGGGAAGAGGGAGCTGAAACTATTGATAATCAATTAACTCCTTCAATTACAGGAGCCTAATGAGGTAGCACAAAGTCAGCTCTCATGAACATCAGTTTAATAGAGGCGGTTCCTCGGGGCGCTCCGTTTTGACTCAATCTTTACAGGGTAGGAAACACGGTGAAAGTAGCAAGCAATTAGTGCCACATAACGAGCACCCGCTGCCGGGTCTCCATCAGGGACAGCAATGCAGGGGGATGCAGTGCCGGGGCTGGGGGCTGACAGCAGCTGCTGTGGTGGCAGAGCGGAGCTCTGAGCTCACGGTGCCGGGATGCTGCTGGATGCATCGCTTGTTGTTAGATGAAGTGAATGTCACAGGGCCCAGCTCTCCCCTACAGGCAGCTGTTTTTTCCTTTTTCGGTGATGGCAGCAAGTGACAAAACGAATGTCACTGCCTGCCGGCCCTGGTGCCTCTTCAGAAACCTGCTGGGGCACAGGGAAAGGAGAGGTGCTGGCGGGGTGCTGCTCTTCATGCTTAGCCAGCCCCAGTAACCCTGCTGTGCCCAGCATGGAGACAAAACCGTGGCAGGTGAGAGCCTGGGGATCCACTCTGTGCCCTGAGCTACTCCTCCAGCAGCCTGGCTAGAGGTGCATGCTGGGGAAGGGTGGTAAAGGAGCACGGAGGTCTTGCTGCTGGGTAGCATGCAGCCGGGAGCACCCTGAGCCAGGATGTCGGCGGTGCCATCCCTCTGCAGACACAGCTCTGCACTGGCCATGCTCGGGAGGGATTTGCATACTAAGGAGCCTCCAGCAGAGCAGAGGCAACCTAACATCTATTTCGGGTCTCAAAGCCAAAGACCATATTTCAAATCCGCTAATCAGGTGAGAACACGGCAAACTCACGCAGCGAGGAGCTGGGGCTCATGGCAGCACCCCCTGCTCCACAGCCACAGGGACTCATAGCCCAGCAGTTGTCAGCACCCACCAGGATTCAGCTGCCAGGGGACTCCACAATCTCGTGGGAGCCAAGCCCCATATTCCCAACCTAGGTCCATCTGCAGAGGTCCTCCCAGCAGTCACCCCCTGTGCTGCTCCCCAGAGGGGATGGGCAGAGGCAGAGGCTTGATTCCTGAGCCCAGGTGCACCCTGCAGGCTGCCATGCCT